CAAGGAGAACTACAAACTGCTGCTCAAAGAAATAAGAGGACACAAACAGATAGACAAACATTCCATGCTCATGGTTAGGAAGAATCAATATTGTGAGAATAGCCATACTGACCAAAGTAATTTATAGATTCAGCACTATCCCCATCAAGCTACCAATGACCTTCTTCACACAACTGGAAAAAACCACCTTAAACTTCATATGGAACCAAAAGGGAGCCCGCATAGCCAAGTCAATTCTAAGCAAAAAGAACAAAGCTGGAGGCATCACGCTACCTAACTTCAAACTATGCTACAAGGCTACAGTAATCAAAACAACATGGTACTGGTACCAAAACAGAGATATAGACCAGTGGAACAGAACAGAGGCCTTGGAGGCAATGCCACACATCTACAACCATCTTATCTTTGACAAACCTGACAAAATCAAACTATGGAGAAAGAATTCCCTGTTTAATTAATGGTGTTGGGAAAACTGGCTAGCCATGTGCAGAAAGCAGAAACTGGACCCCTTCCTGACACCTTACACTAAAATTAACTCCAGATGGATTAAAGACTTAAACATAAGACCTAACACTATACAAACCTTAGAAGAAAACCTAGGCAAAATCATTCAGGACATAGGCATAGGCAAGGACTTCATTACTAAAACACCAAAAGCATTGGCAACAAAAGCCAAAATAGACAAATGGGATCTAATTAAACTCCAGAGCTTCTGCCCAGCAAAAGAAACAATCATTAGAGTGAATCAGCAACCAACAGAATGGGAAAAGTTTTTTGCAATCTACCCATCTGACAAAGGACTTGTATCCAAAATCTACAAAGAACTAATACAGATTTATAAGAAAAAAACAAACCCATTGAAAAGTGGGCAAAGGATATGAACAGACACTTTTCAAAAGAAGACATATATGACACCAACAAACATATGAAAACATTCTCATCATCACTGGTCATTAGAGAAATGCAAATCAAAACTACATTGAGATACCATCTCACGCTAGTTAGAAAGGTGATCATTAAAAAATCTGGAGACAACAGATGCTGGAGAGGATGTGGAGAAATAGGAACATTTTTACACTGTAGGTGGGAGTGTACATTAGTTCAACCATTGTGGAAGACAGTGTGGCAATTCCTCAAAGACCTAGAAATAGAAATTACATTTGACCCAGCAATCCCATTACTGGGTATATATCCAAAGGATTATAAATCGTTCTATTATAAGGACAGATGGACACATATGTTCATTGCAGCACCGTACAATAGCAAAGACTTGGAACCAACCCAAATGCCCATCGATGATAGACTGGACAAAAAAAATGTGGCACATATACATCATGGAATACTATGCAGCCAAAAAAAATGATGAGTTTGTGTCCTTGTAGGGACATGGATGAACCTGGAAGCCATCATTCTCAGCAAACTGACACAAGAACAGAAAATCAAACACCACATGTTCTCACTCATAGGCGGGTGTTGAACAATGAGAACACATCGACACAGGGAGGGCAGCATCACACATTGAGGTCTGTGGTGGGGGGACTAGGGAAGGGACAGTGAGGGGTAGGGAGTTGGGGAGGGATAACATGGGGAGAAATGCCAGATATAGGTGATGGGGATGGAGGCAGCAAACCACATTGCCATGCATGTACCTATGCAACAATCCTACATGTTCTTTACATGTACCCCAGAACCTACAATGCAATCAAATATACATATATTTAAAAAATAAGATTGTATCAGGCTACTGAGTTTGAATTGTACCTTAGTCTAGTGCTTCACAAAGTGTGAGACTCATTTACAAATAACATTTGGTGATATGAGGATGAAGCATGAAATCATATTGTCATATAATTTAAAAAATTTTTCAATTATCTCTTATGCCCCTCGAATTAACTTCAGGAGAAAGACTTAGGTTGAAACTAATCTGTCTTAAATGGTATTTTCTTTTTCTTTTCCTTTTTGAGATGTAGTCTCGCTCTGTCGCCCAGGCTGGAGTGCGGTGGTGGCTTGATCTCAGCTCACTGCAACCTCTGCCTCCTGGGTTCAAGCCATTCTCCTGCCTCAGCCTCCCAAGTAGCTGGGATTACAGGCACACTCCACTATGCCTGGCTGATATTTTATATGTTGAGTAGAGATGGGGTTTTGATTGGCCTGCCTCGGCCTCCCAAAGTGCTGGGATTACAGGTGTGAGACACTGCACCTGGCCTTAAATGGTATTTTCTGATTAGACTTTTTAACAAAGAAAAAGTGATTTTCTGCCAACATTTAATGATTCAGTTTTATTTTCATTAATTAAAAAAGATGTCTTTTATAGAACTAATAGTCATTTTCCCTTTTAATAAGTAATATGACGTTTTCTTTCCAAATGTATTTACTTAAGTGAAACACATCTATTCTGTGTAAAGACAAAGATGACATGTGGTGGCAGGAGGAAGAATTGAGATGGCTCCCTTCTTTCTGGATTGTTCCAAGAGGGGAGTGGTGGTGTCATTACCTAAGGCAGGAGTTGCAGGAAAAAAGACAGAACAAAGGAAAAGAAAATAAAAGCCAAGAATAAGAAATGCCTTGCCTATTATTACTGGATATGCAACAAAGTTTATTTAAACCAAGGTCCCATAACTTCAAGAATATACCCAACACACCCTCACCTTCTCTCTGATGCAGCCAATAAAAGCATGCCATAAAACAACCTTATCCTTTCTACAACCTGCCTTCTCACAGCCTGAAATCTCTCTCAAAATGCTGGTTGATTTTTTGTTCTGCCAGGTATTATCCCTAGGTTACATCCTTGGTTCTTATGCAATTTGGTCTTGACCTTAAACTTCAGAGCTTTCTTTTGTCTTTATATTACTGCTTTAACTTCAGAGCACAACTGAAATGCTATATTCAGCCAAGCTTTTTGGACCCTTGGGTCAAAGATCCTGGCACCCATACACCTCCAGTAACAGGCAGGCTTGTGTATGTACTCTCTCTCTCTATCTCTTTCTGTCCCCCGCCACCCCGACTTCTCTCAGAGGATAATCTTCCATTTGCATGGGGATTACTAGTGTGTCCTTGACATATATGGCTTTTTATGTATCATGCATTAAGATAGCAGATGTCAGGAATGCAAAGGGTTTTTCTTCTCTGGTTATCAGCCAGCCATTCTTTCTGAAGTAATTTGAAGCAAATCCCTTTTTTGGAGCAAGATCTTCAACTTTTGTTTTTTTCTTTTATAAGCAGATTTCTTTGCCTTTTGAGCTTCTTTTTGAGCTTCATATCTGAAGCTACTCTGTCTTCTGAGATATTGTTACTTATCATATAAAAATATGTACTGTGGGCCAGGCGTGGTGGCTCATGCCTGTAATCCTAGCACTTTGGGAGGCCAAGGCAGGTGGATTACCTGAGGTCAGAAGTTCAAGACCACTCTGGCCAACATGGCAAAATTCCATCTCTACTAAAAATACAAATTAGCCGGATGTGATGGTGGGTGCCTGTAATTCCAGCTACTTGGGAAACTGAGGCAGGAAAATTGAACTGGGGCTGGGGATGGGGAGTGGAGGTTGCAGTGAGCTGAGCTGAGACTGTACCACTTGACTCCAGCCTGGGCAAAAAAGCAAAACTCCAGCTTATATTTATATATATTTACATATATATACACACATATATGTATATATTTACATATATACATATATATACACTACATATTGGGCATTAGCTGTTTGAAAAATGGCTTTTCCTGCTGAATGTCCATGGTCAGGTCAGTCTGACTTTCAATAATTTCAATTGACGTCTTCAAATTGAGTCTTAGAATGTTTAAGTTTTTAAGTACAAAATTAGGATAGCTGTATTCTATTACTCATACCTTATTTGTAACCAAATAAAGTACATCATTATTTATTTTCAACAATTTAAAAAACTTTGCTAAATTTGGAGTTATAGTGTTGTAATAGATGCACATTTTTAAATAAGTTTAAAAGTTTTATATGTGTAACTAAACACAAGAATAGACACTCCTTTCTGTTAATAGTGTATTTTTCGTTAAGGGTTTACTTTTAATGAAATTTTGACATAGATACTCAAGAATTAAAGATCTGAAAATGAATTACATTTATAATAATACACAAATTCATACTTCCTATATTACTTATAAAAAGATATTTTTGTCATGGGGTATTTTATGTTAGCTTTAAGACTTCCATTTTTTTAAAAAAGATGAGTCATTTCCTCTGTCTGGGAGGTGACTGTGAGTGGTAAAATTCTGGGTACATATGTTGAGGTCACAGAGCTTTGTGTTAGTACAGGATCCACGTTTAGTTTCGAATTTCGACTTGACTTTGAAATAAAGCAATGGTGTTAGATAAAGAAATGAAGGAATGATTTGACTAAGGTAGACCTTTAACTGTATCTCCTGTTACTATCTCCTGTAGAAATAGGTGATATCTATGCCTTGGACTTTGAAATTTTCATTCTTAGGTCTATAATAAACCTAAATTCTTACTAAGACAAACACTCCTTGCTTAATTTTTGATTAACTTGCATATGCAAGAACATGAATTTATGTTGAAGAGGGATGTTTAAAAAAGCTTAGGCATGGCCTGACACAGTGGCTCACACCTGAAATCCCAGCACTTTGGGAGGCTGAGGCAGGCAGATCAGCTGAGGTTAAGAGTGCAAGACCAACCTGGCGAACATGGTAAAACCCCATCTCTACTAAAGATACAAAAATTAGCCGGGTGCGGTGGTGTGCACCTGTAATCCCAGCTACTCTGGAGGCTGAGGCAGGAGAATCACTTGAACCTGGGATGTGGAAGTTTCAGTGAGCCAAGATCATGCCACTGCACTCCAGCTTGGGCAGCGGAGTGAGATTCTGTCTCAAAACCAGAAACAAACAAACAACACCCTGCCCTCGCCAAAAAAACCAAAAAAAAACAACAACATAAAACAAAACCCAACAACTTAGGCATTTATGCCAATCTTAAAACTCAGAATTTTAGCAGGGTAAAAGTGGGCTCCACTACCTTACTTAATAGCTGTTACTCAGTCTCTTTCAGCATTAAGATTCACTTGTGTAAATGATAGATGATAAAATTTCCCTTATGTACTTGTTGTGAAAACTAAATTAAAAAGCATGTTAAATGTGGTAATATTTATAAAATGCCCAGGAGGTCATCTAGCATATAGCTATTGTTTGTTCCCAAGTCCCTCAACTCATTCCTTCATCTTTTCTGTCTTGGAAGACAAAAAGCATTTCCTTCTCCTCAATGTAATCCATTTCTTGATGAAAGATGATGTATTTCCTCTATGAAGATGAGCGATAGATAATAATGGATAGTGATGGATAATGGCAAATACCAAAGAGATTGTGATCTGGGCAAAATATCAGATCTCATTAAGCAAGATTGCTTTCTGTGTTCACATTTATTACACACATAATGAGATACAACAGGTTTATTTGCATAGTAGATGGAGAACAGAATTTATTAAAAGGCTCTTGATAAACTTCTTAATGAAGTAAGGGCTTGCAGGCATAGTGTTGGCCTCACCAGGGGTTCAGTAATTGTGTGTATGTCATTCAGATGAGATTGTTCATACACATGGGAGCAGAGGACAAAATTTAGAGATGAGAGGGCTGAGAATGGGTACAAAGAAGAGGCAACAGAACTCAGAAGAAAGCTATTGATACGGTTTGGACAGTTTGTCCTCTCCAAATCTTATGTTAAAATGTAATCTCCAATGTTGGAGGTGGGGCTTGGGAGGAGGTGTGTGGGTCATAGGGGTGGATCCCTCATAAATAGCTTCATGCCCTTCTCACAATAATGAGTGAGTTCTCACTGAGTTTACGTGAGATTTAGTTGTTTAAAAAAGCATGGCACCTCCTTACTTTCTCTCTTGCTCCATCTCCTCCCACATGGTACACTGGCTCCCCTTCGCCTTCTGCCATGATTGAAAGTTTCCTGGGCCCCTCACCAGGATGTGATTCTGGTGACGGGCCCAGGCTCTATTCTTTCTGAACAGCCTGAAGTACTGTGAGCCAAATATACCTCTTTTCTTTGTAAATTACCCTACCTCAGGCATTCCTTTATAGCAAAGCAAATGGACTCACACAGCCATTCCATGGATAATGTTAATTTCCCATGATCAGTGAAGTTACTAGACTGACAGAATATTTGTTGTAAGTTTTTGTGGATACCAGCAAAGTTATAGTTTCATGTCTAGATGCATACCAGGTTACTAGATGGCACAGATCTAAGAAAGGAAACAATGGGGATCCCACAAGCAAACCCTCAGACATTTACAGACATCATAGGGAGGATTTGGAGCATCAAACTCAAACTGATGGTTTGAGTGACACTCATATATATCTCTGAGGGTGAAGGTCTCTGGTGCCATTTGCTTTAGATACATGGCCACAAGGCATCATTATGTAGGGTTTATGTTCTTCCATGTATGACAGTTATCAATGTAACATCCTCATTAGAATAATTTTGCAATAGAAATGTTTAGTATTTAAATATTTCATAGTAAATAACTTTCTCATATATTAAATAAATAAAGCAAAATCATTTAATAAAGTTCTAACTCTGAGTTATGTTATAGGTCAAACTGTATTTACCTATCATGACAACAAATGGAGATTCTACCCTGGTACATTGTCAGCCACATTTTAACAATATTTATTCTTTGGTGTAATCATAAAAAGACAGTTCTGTATACTGAAATAGCTTGGCTCACAAAAATTTTTTCAAGACTTACATATGTACCTGAAAAAACAAAGATATTCAAATGACTAACAAACCTGTTAAATGCAAAAAATAAATATGGGGGTGGAATGAGAAGGTGACTTTTGGGAAAAAAACAATGAAATGGTTGACTTTTGATGGTAATTGATTTGATATGTCATTAAAGATATTTGACTATTTTTAAAAGAAATGTCCATTTTAATAATATTTAAATCAGTCAAAAGAACTCTAGAGGTGTTGAATTCTTACTCCAAATCTTAACATTTCCATGTGGCAACACCACAATTTTCAACCTTAAAGAAAATGCAGAAAACGGTACATTTTCATTCTCACTGCCACCAACCCAGCTCAGGCTGGGGACAGCTGCATTTCTCTGAGAGCCTACAACTGTTCTTTCTGTGATATTTCTCTCCTCCAGCGTATTATCTACAACTCTGTGAATGATGTTTGTAAAGTTGTGCACTCCATTGCTATCAGGATTAAGGCAAAACTTCTTCCGAGGTTTACAAGGCCCCTTGCTCATCAATCTCCTTCATTTATCCTTCCATATTTTCAGTGCAACACGCCCGTGCTATGAATGCATCTCATCTTTGGGCTTTTATGTTAGCGGTCTGAACCTTTCATCTCCATCTTGCCATCTCTTTCCCCACATTTTTAAGCGTCCGTTTATAAATCTCTTCCTTCAAGAAACTTCTCTGAGTCCTCAAAAGAGCTGATAATGATTTACCTTTATTTGGCAGTATAAGCGGGCTAGAGATGTCTTCATTGAGGAGGGAACATGAGCCTTGAAAGACTGAAAGGACAGGCTGCTGAAGCACAGAATGGGGGTTCAGGCAGGAGAAATGACCATAAGGAGGAAATGTGAAGGAAAAAAGGAGTCAAAAGAGCAGATAACAATTGTTAGTGTATGACATTAGAAAAGGGCTGAGGGTGAGGATTGTTGAGGATGATGAATGTCAGACTGATGAATGCAGAGGTTTTAGTGCCTAGTCAGCGGGTTACAACTTACATGGACCACAGAGCTTCATTAACACAAATTTGAAATTTGCGTTGTATGAGGCAACATGGTCAGCCCTGTTTTAGAAAGACGGGTGGATATGGTGTGTGTTTGTGTGTGTGTATAAATATATGTGTGTGTGTTTGTGTATATATACATAGATGTGTGTATATATGTATTCATGTATACATAAACTATATATGTGTGTGTGTGTGTGTGTGTGTGTATGTGTGTGTGTGTAAAGAAGCTAAGAACAGTGGCTAAGAGACAAGATTTGAGCAGGGCCATGAGTTGGAACATTTGGAGAGAATGGGAGAGAGAAAGAATCAATCACAGCCTTAAAAGTGAGATAAAATGACAATACATGGCAGTATAGAAAATAGTCATATGAAAAGTACTGGTGACAAGTGCCTACAGGATTTTAAGCACATGTATATATTTTTGATGGTAGAATATTTTTTCAGATTCTGGCTGGAAACAACATTCCTCTCAAATTGTTCAAATGAAGAGACATTGGCGCAGTGGTTCTCAGTCTTGGCTGTACTCTAGAAATGCTTGGGGAGCTTTGAAAAATACATGCCCATGTTCTATCCTCAGAGGTTCTGCATTAGTTGGTCTGGTTTGTGGCCTGGCTGTTGAGATTTCTTAAAAGCTTCCCAGCTGATTCTAACACGCAGCTTGAGGTAAGAACCCACGTTCAACCCCTGAGTTGCGAATGAAAGGACTGCTCTCAGTAGTATTGGCAGTGCTAGGATGAAAGGATGGTAAGACACAACAGACTAGCTACAGGGGAAAATAATGCTACTCTTATCATCAAGGAACAAGAGACACTAGATTGACCTAGTGAGAGCTGGACCAGAGGAGAAGGGGCTATTTTACCTGAGCTATAGTAAGGGAGTGGGGGATGCTTCTATTTCCTGACTTTTAGAGCTGAAGCAGGATGTATGAGGGTTCTCCAGAGAAACAGACCTAATAGGATGTGTGTGTGTGTGTGTGTGTGTGTGTGTGTGTGTGTGTGTGTGTGTGTGAATTTTTTAAGGAATTTGCTCATGTAATAATGTAGGCTGACAAGTCCAAAATCTGCCGAGTGGCCAGCAGGCTGGAGACCTAGGAAGAGCTGATGCTGTAGTTCATGTCTGAAATTTGAAGGCAATTGGGTGCCAGTATTCCCTCCTGCTCTGGGGGCAAGTCAGTCTTTTATTCTGCCCAGGATTTAAACTGATTGGATGAAACCCACTTATATTATGGAGGACAATCTGTTTTACTCAAAGTTCAGCAATGTAAATGTTAAATCTCATCTGAATACATCTTCATAGGTGCATTCAAAATAATCTTTGACCACATATCTGGGCAGTGCAGCCCCACAAAGTTGATATATAAAATTAATTGTCACATAAGGAGGGAGAGTAAGAGAAATAGTCTAGCTTCTTTTTCTTCTCTCTCCCCTTCCTTTGGCCAGTTTCCCAGGACAGACCTGAGGAACAAAGAAGAAGGAGTCCAGGATCTGAGGAACAAATTGGAGATGTCCTGCACATACTGCTAACTGATTTATCGTAGCCTTCATTATTATTGTGAAAATGCCTTTTCTATTGTTAAAATTCTAGTTTGGTTAGGTTGAGCAATATTATGACAGAGACTCTTGAATTAATTTTTAAAAAATTATGCTAATGACCTAAAGGTTTCTAAAATGATTTTCTTTTTAAATTTTATTATTATTAATTAATTAATTTATTTATTTTATGCTACTGGCAGGATCAACTAGGTATCTAAAATGATTTTCTAATGATCTTTGTTGAGATGGTTTCTCTTTAGGCTAGAATAACAATGTTTTTGTCACAAATGCAAATGTAGTTTTTACTAAACAATAAGAGCACTACTAAAGTGTATTTTCAGTTTGAAAGACAAAATACTACTCTATTTAACTTTATATTAGATGATATCAGTATTTGTATTTAGATTTTTGAAAAGTTTGGTCTTTTTTTTTTTGAGACGGATTCTCACTCTGTCATCCAGGTTGGAGTACAATGGTGCAATCTTGGCTTACTGCAACCTCTGCCCCTGGGTTCAAGCAATTCTCCTGCCTCAGTTTCCCAAGTATCTGGGATTACAGGCATGTTCCACCATGTCTGGTTATTTTTTGTATTTTTAGTAGAGATGGAGTTTCACCAGGTTGGCCGGGCTAATCTCAAACTCCTGACCTCGAGTGACTCTCCCGCCTCAGCCTACCAAAGTGCTGGGATTATAGGCATGAGCCAACTCACCAGGTCAAAAGTTTGGTCTTATACTAAGTAACTTGAATATTTAGAAGGAAAGGTGTGTGGGTATTAAAAATAAAACTGTAAAGAGGCAGTATTCGCTATGCAATCTGGATAATGATTGTAATAATCCAGATAATGTTTAAGTAAGCCATAGACATGGAAAATAACTTTGTCCCCTGTGATATTTAGCCTAGAAAACCTCACCTGCTTCTTGTTTGTGTGGTATGATTTACTACATACATGCATGGAGAAACAGCATGTTATAGTGATATATCTGCAGGATATTTAAGTGGAGACATTTGAGAGGCAAAGGAAAATCCTGATTGAAGCTTGAGAGAATATCATGAGACTGATGTGTATAGACTAGGCAGTCATTGTCCACCTTTGATGGGTGAAGTACTGCCAGTGGCTAAGCTGTTTTAGAAGAGGGCCCAGAAAGAGAGCAAGCACAGTTGGAGCTCTGGGAGCCATTAGTAATTAAGGGGTGGATAGAGAACTAAACAAGGAATAACTAGGGAAGTGGCAGAAGAGAGGGGAGTCAAGTAAGCCAAACCAAAAAGAATTTCAAAGATGATTTTCAAGTGATTAGGAGGACAATTTTAACCTTAATGAGGATAGTTTCATGAGTTGTGGCTGGAGCTGCAATGCAGTGGCTGAAGAAAGACTGTGCAGTGAGGAACTAGGGACAGTGAGGGCAGGTAATTCTTTTAAGGAATATGGCCATGAAAGAAGATGATAGGAAACGGCGCTAGAGGGTATGAAGGGATTTTTTTCCCTTCTTTTGTTTTTTATTGAGCAAAAGAGTTAAAATAGCAGTTTGTAGTTAGATTCTGAAGGTAAGTTAATTTCAGGGGTTGCCTAGATGCATGGTATAAGTTTGTATATGTGTCACTGTAGAAGCTGAATGGAGGTAAAGATCTTTGGTATACAGGAGGTTGGTTAAGTGACTTCGATGTAAGGTAAGATGTTGGATAGGTGAGGATGAAGACTGTTGGTCTGATGACAATGTTCTTATTAAATGGCAGTGAATTGACTGAAGGTAAGATCATGAGAGCAGCAGATCTGGGTAAAAGAATCTAACACCAGACAGAATAAGCTTAAGAGGAGCAGAGACTTCTTGACCAAAATGGATGTGCAATAGACAGGAAGTGGCAGTAGGGAGCCAGGAGGATTACAACCCTGCCTCAGGGGCTGAGGTTTTGTCTTATGGGAGAATATGCATCCTTTATGAAAGAGGTCAACATGAGAAAAATTGAGAGTTATGGGTTAATCAGAAGTGCTATAGATGGGATTCCATGAAATGAATGGAAATTTGATTTCAAATCATTTTGGTAGTTGCATAAATCTAAGTCTTCAGATGACCAATGTCATGGGCATCCTGTATGTAATGAACTGATCCTGCATGCAAGGAAGCCATGGTGACCATGAAGGCCTCCTGCAACTTCTTAACTTCTAGCCCATGCCCAGTTGGCTCCAGGCTTCAGGGGAATGAACAGTTATTTCAGTTAGTAACAGGCAGTATAGTAAGTATGACTAAATGTGGGGATTCTGTTTTGACTGCTTATCCCTCAGTGGGACTTATGGGAATCCTATAGATGCTCATAAGAAACCCGTGGTTGATTAGTGGGATTGTGAGGAATACTTGCTTCCATCTCTTTCCCCACAGGAGTTCGCTGAAATTCCCCTAGTAGCCTCATAACACAGAGGTAGCCCCTTTCAATTCTAAGAGGGAAGAAACAGGGATTTTCCAGGAGAAAGAAGAATCCCCTGTCTCTTCCCCACCATTTTCATAATCATAAACAAAGGGACAAAATTACTCAAGTTAGGACATGTATTTTGTGCTTTATACCAGAATACATACCCTGCCATTTCAGAAATTACATCCAAGTAGTCCATTCTTACTCATTTTGCACATTAATTTCATTCTTACCTGACAGATTTTGGCTCTTTAAAAATGTTCTTCAGAAATAATTCTTTTTTATAGGTGTTTCTAGTAACATTTGCTTCTTGCTTTTCAATTCTTGCCACTTCTTCCAACTTCAAAATCTAAGTTGGGAGAGCAAATACTTTGGATAGCACAGGCAATATTACCAGACAAGGAAAATCATTTCTTCCAATGGAAATTTATGGAACCCATAGGGGAAGCACACTCCTATTGTGTTTGAGATGAAGAGTCATCAAATAGAATAATCTATAGGAAAGAATATAGAAAATGAAAATTGTTAGCAGTTTTCAATATCAGCTAATCAACATATATATTAGGGTATATTTTGGTGCCACTGGAAAAAATACTTAAAATTGCACAAATGTATTGAGCAAACATCAGGACAGTGGTCTTACATAATATTATATATCCACTTTAGAAAGTATTTTGTGAAAATATTATTCTCATTGTAGAGTCTTTGTATTTATTACTGATATAAGAAGCTATTGATGACCCTTACAAAGACTTATTTGGGCATGAGAAGATTCTGGAAAGATGGCAGAATAGAAAGCAGCAGGCATCCATCTCCCCATCCAGGCAACTACAGTGGCAGAATCTTTTCAGTGTAACTATTTTGGAAATTTGGAGTCTATTGAAGGTTTGCAACTTCCAGGTGAAGATGTGGATGGTCAATTATAGTTAACTTCAGTCAGTATCAGCTCTTAGCTTGACAGCAGCCATCCACCCCATACCCCCAGATTTGTGGCAGGCAGCAGTTCGTGTGTTCTTGGAGAAGCTTACACATAGCTTGCAGGAGCCAAGGTGGGCAATAAAGATCCTGTCCTACAATAGCGGAGATCTGTATTCTAATCACTGGCAGCTTCTTCTGATTATGGAAGTACAAACACCAGAGATGAGCATCTGTTAGTGTTATACCTCCCTGCATAGTTGGAAGCCCTTTTCCCTCCAGATGAAGTGACCTCCAGGAGAATTAAAGGGTCAGTATCCTTTCCCCATTCATTTTTCTCTTTTTTCCCTTTTGAGAGCCAGGAATAAAAAAATAAAAGTAGGATATTCAAAAGCGATTGCTTATATGGGGAAAATTAGAAAGTCACCATAATGCCAGGGACAGGTGAAGGCTCAAAAAATACCTTGTTTACACATTAGGCTTATCCTAAGCACAGAAACAACCTACAACAATCAAATCAAATCAAAACAAACAAAAAAACCCTAAGTAACTCTGAGCAAGGGAAATAATCTGAATTCCAGAATTATCATACTACTAGATTCAAAAGTCCAGTTTAAAAAATGTCATAAGGCATACTAAGAAACAGGAAAGTATGTTTCATTCAGAGGAAAATGTAAGCCAACAGAACTGATGGCAGATCTACTATACAAAAACTTTTTAAAAACAGTTGCCTTTAAGATGCTCAAATAACTATAGGAAAACCTGAAAAAGCCAAGAAAGTTGATGTATGAGCAAAGTGGAAATATAACGAGATAGGAATCCAAAAAGAAACTAAAGAGAAATTCGGAAGCTAAAAAGTACAACACAGTAGTCCCCCTCTTATCTGCAGTTTTCTTTTCCATAGTTTCAATTATTTTAATTCAACCATGGTCCAAAAATATTAAATGGAAAATTCCAAAAATAAAAAACTTACAAGTTTTAAATTGCATGCTTTTCTGAGTAGATTGGTGAAATCTTTCCCTGTCCTACTCCATTCTGCCCAGGATATAAATCATCCCTTTGTCTAATGTATCTGCATATACTCTATCTGCCATGAGTCACTTAGCCATCTCTGTTATCAGATTTACCATTGTTGTATCACAATGCTTATGTTCAAGTAACCCTTTTCTTATTAATAATGGAACCAAAGTTCAAGATTACTGATGCTAGAAATTCAGAAATACCAGAGAGAAGCTGTAAAGTGCTTTCTGTAAGTGAAAAGGTGAAAGTTCTTGGCTTAATTAAGAAAGAAAAAATTATATGCTGCGGTTGCTAAGATCTGTTATAAAAATGGATGTTCTAATTGTGAAGAAGGAAAACTAATTGTATTGGGTTTGCTGTTGCACCTCAAACTGCAAATGTTGTGGTCACAATGCATTACAAGTGTTTAGTTAACATGAAAAATGCATTAAGTTTGTGGATGAAAGACGTGAACAGAAATGTGTTCTGATTGATGACAATGGGGTTTGGTGCTATCTTCAGTTCCAGGCATCCACTTGCTGAAACATCTCCCATGGAAAATGTAGGACTACTGCAATGCAGATGAAAAGTTTTCTAGAGAGAGTCCAAGAAATATTTGAGAAGTCAAAAGGAATAATTGTTAAACATGAAGATGGGATCATTGAAATTATTGAATCTGAATAACAGAAATTTAAAAAATAAAGTACTAAAGAACCTGTGGTATACTATCAACAGGACCAGCATATACATCGTGGATATTCTAGAAGGAGAAGAGAGAGATAAAAGTCACAGACTATTTGAAAATTTCCTGAATTTGATTAGGGACATAAATAGAAACATCTAAGAAGCTCCACTTGTATAAGGTACTAGTCAAAATCATAGAACAGAAAGTAGAAAGGTGGTTGCCAGGGGCTGGAAGAAAGGAGAATGGGGAGTTATTGTTTAATGGGTACAGAGTTTCAGTTTTACAAGATGAAAAGAATTTTGGAGATGAATGATGGTGATGGTTACATGACAATATCAATGTACAATTGACCCTTAAACAATATAGAGATTAGGAGTGCTAATCCAAAATATGCCACCCCATCCAGCCAAAAATCCACATATAACTTTTGACTCTGCCAAACTTAACTACTAATATCCTACTTTTGACCAGAAACCTAACCAATAACATAAACAGTTGATTAGCACATATGTTTAGTATGTATATTATATACTATGTTCTTATGATAAAGTAAGCTAAAGAAAAGAAAGTATTTTAAAGAAAATTATAAGGAAGAGGAAATATATTTACTCTTCATTAAGTGGAAGTGGATCATCATAAAGGCCTTCATCCTCAATGTCTTCATGTTGAGTAGGCTGAGGAGGAGGTGGAAGAGGAGGACGAGGAGGGATTGGTCTTGCTGTCTCAGGAGTGGCAGAGGTGGGAGAGAACACACATATAAGTGGACCAACATAGTTCAAACGCCTGTTGTCCAAGGGTTACTTGTACTAACAAACTGAATTCAAAAGCCCCTTAAAAGGATCGCTCACCATGATTAAGTGGGATTTATCCCTAGAGTACAAGGATGGTTCAACATACACAAATCAATAAATTTGGTACACCATATTAACACAATGAAAGACCTGAAGATATTCATTACTGGATGGTCTGTAGTTGCCCATCAAATGGGAAATATAGGTATTTGCTGAAGATGTGTGTGATAGTAATGATCTAGAGGACAATGTAGAGATTTAGGACAGTCTCTGAGAGCATATGAAAGGAAGTTTACCACAAACAAATCAAATGAAAATGAAAGAATTGAATGAAATGACAAAAACCATTATGTATCTAGGTTACAGTCTGCTGTCAAGAGCCAGTTATACAATGCAAGCACTTTGGCTACACCAAGAAAACCTGGAATTTTTTAAAAAAGTAGTACATACAATACAATTTTATATAATTTACATTAATATTTCTACCTACAATTCTGATGCACATATGAAAAATTCAGTAACATATTAACTTGCCATGAAAAGAATATGTCAGAAATGGAAAAAATAATCTTGATAATGTATTGAAAATTTTCTATAATCCTGAAAAAATGAAATTATCAAACTATTAGGAGCAAATACTATAATTGGACTGAGTTTGAATCCAGACCTTACAACTTATTAGGCAAATTACTGTGTCTCTCTTCTTTTCTTTTTTATCTGTAAGATCACATAGAAAATAGTACCATACTCAATGAAGTTTTGTGAAGACTAGGCAGTAATGCAAAGTACTTATTTTTTAAAACAATACTTGACATATTAAATACTAAACAAATGTTTAAGCTCTTTTTTATTCCTGATACCAGTTATAAGAAACAGTAAAGATAGGAATGTTTTTCTCATAGGAGGGTCATACACATATTTCTCTTGTTCCTGCTGTGCTAACTTTTCATTAACTTATGCAAATGCTCATTTGACCCAGCAACACTGAGTGTGGCCAACAATAAAGAGGTATTTTTCCCTTTGGGCTAAGTGTAGGGACTAGTTGTAGTAAGGAAAAAATAGGGAGACGACATTTTTATTAGTCTACATTTTTGAAGATAAATCACAGTACTTGCCTCAGTTTCCAAGAAGAAAGGAGGTTATGATTAACATATAGTTTCATTCTACTAGAAATCAATACTTCCATGAGTAAACCTTTGACTTTCTAAAAAAGTAGAACTGAGAGTAAGTCATTTTTCTAACTTCCCAAATACTGAATGAAGGTAGAAGCAAGGAAATAATGAACCAAAAGACACAAAAGTGAGGTTTTGTATACTGGGAAGAAGTACACACAACATGGCATGATTTAAGCCACATCTGGAAAATTCTTTAAAAATTATTTTTTCTTTGATCTATACTCAAGAAGTTAGGCTTGACTATGCTTCTATGCCTCAGGTTCCTTAGAAGTTTTTCTACATTGTGAGCATTGTCATTTATTTATTGATTTTTTTTTTTTTTTTTACAATGAGCTAGTGGATACTCATGTTAATAGGGCTCTGTGGCTGGCATCAATGGAGACATATCAAGAGAGAAGATGTAATACAAGACACTCTACTTGGATCATTACATAACTCCCTCCTCATCATGGAATGGAGCAACCCATACAATGTAAGAAAGCAATAGCGTAGACCAGCAGGTATATTAAATAAAGAATTAGAAGACGTGGCTTAGATCTAATTCTGTGGCTTCAATGAAAAGTCACCCAGTCTCTCAAGGCTTCAATTTTCTCACAGTTAAAAGGTCATAGCAATACCTACTCCTGGAGTTGTGAGGTTCAAATGGGGTAATGTATTGTGAAAGCACTTTTTGTGTGAAAGGCTATAAAGTATTATTATGATAATGTTTATTAATATCCAGTTTTAAAATAAGTTTCCACTTTAAGATCTGATCCTATGAAGAAAATTTTCTTTTTGTAAGAATACCAATGTCAAAATTAAATTTTTAAAAACACATAGGAAATACTTTCAATCTTTTTTTAAACAACAACAACAAAAACAACTGAAAAGATAAATGTTCACAAGTTCCTGATGATTCTTCAGTTCTTCACAGTAATATGTTATGGATATGTTTTCAAAGGTAATGAGAAAATTTCAGTAGAAATGGCAATCTGAGTATATGTGCTTACCTCTCCTGTTTCCACAAAGGCCATTGAAATGACCAAAAAAAAAAAAAACAAACAAAAGAATAAAATCTCCAACTACTCTAGGACATAATACAGCCAACCAGCAATAAGGATTGCTGCAAATTAGGAAGGATTTGCATTTAGTCTTAAAGGAGACACAAAGAACAAACACATGGGTTAAATTATCCTCCGGTAGACACAGGAAAGTACTGGTAAAGGTAAGTAAAGTGATTTTTCTCCAGTGAATCATAGAGAAATTTGAATCTCATAGACACCAAGCACAAGATGGTGCTGACTTTCAGGATACCCTCAACTTTCTGTAAGAATGGCTTTATAAAAATAATGAAAGGCCAGGCACAGTGGCTCAGGCCTGTAATCCCAGCACTTTGGGAGGCCGAGGCGGGCAGATCACCTGAGGTCAGGAGTTCGAGACCAGCCTGGTCAACATGGAGAAACCCTATCTCTGCTAGAAATGCAAAATTAGCCAGGCAAGAGGGCACATGCCTGTAATCCCAGCTACCCAGGAGGCTGAGGCAGTAGAATCGCTTGAACCCAGGAGGCGGAGGTTGCAGTGAGCAGAGATCTCACCACTGCACTCCAGCCTGGGTAATAAGAGTGAAACTCCATCTCCAAAAATAAATAATAATAATTTTAAAAAGATTATGAGAATCTTCTGGGAGTAGAGAAAAAAAGAAGAGCTTCTAAAGTATATGCTGGGGAGGATGAAAGTATTTTCAAAATGCCATTAAGGTCTCAGGGGTAGGGAGAGAATTCATTCAGCAAAGTTTTTCAGCTTCTACACTATTAAATTTCTGGATAAGACAACTCTTTGTTGCAGACAGTTGTCCTGTGCATTGTAGGATGTTTAGCAACATTTCTTGCCTGGACCCACCAGAAGCCAGAAATTCCCCTCCCACCTCCTACCAACTGTGATAACAAATGTCTCTGGACATTGCCTGGGGTAAACATCCACCTGCCCTAACCCCACCCCATCCTACCCCAAGTTGAGAATAGCCTAGCAGAGTATGTTGATGAAGTCTTCATCTTAAATCCTTTGTTTTTTCTTAAGTACTCTTGGGGGGTCCCTATTTGTCTGATTGATTCTCCTCATGCTCCCCAAAGAAAAGCCCACTGATGCACTGTCAATTCAGATAAATATTTTTCCATTATTTTTTCTTTGTTTTCTTCATCACATTTTTCCTGTTCTCTATCTGAAACTCCAATTGAGTGCCAAAGGAGCGTATACACGTTAGCCACATGGCTTACTATCATGTGGTAGTACTCCTATTGTTATCTGCTCCTTTATTGTGTTGTTTTACTCTTTGGAGAATTTATTACACTATCTTCTGGATTATTTATTTGCTCAGTCTTTATTTAGGTCCATTCTAT